TTGTTTTTGTTTTTTTGGTTTTTTTGAGTTAAGAGTCTCACTCAGTCGCCCAGGCTGGAGTGCAGTGGCATGCTCATGGCCACCTCAGCCTCAATCTGCTGGGCTTAGGCAATCCTTCCACCTCAGCTTTCCAAGTAGCTGGAATTACAGACACACACCATCATGCCCAGCTATTTTTTGTGTGTGTGTGTGATTTATTGTAGAGACAAGGTCTCACAAAGTTGCCCAAGCTCAGGCAATCCTCTCACCTCCGCCTCCCAAAGTGCTGGGATTATAGGCTTTGCCACCACGCCTGGCCCTAAGTACCATTTCTAAAGCATAGATGAGGTAAATATTTTTAATATTTTACTATGCAGTGTTTTTTTTGTTTTTGTTTTTTTGGTTTTTTTGAGTTAAGAGTCTCACTCAGTCGCCCAGGCTGGAGTGCAGTGGCATGCTCATGGCCACCTCAGCCTCAATCTGCTGGGCTTAGGCAATCCTTCCACCTCAGCTTTCCAAGTAGCTGGAATTACAGACACACACCATCATGCCCAGCTATTTTTTGTGTGTGTGTGTGATTTATTGTAGAGACAAGGTCTCACAAAGTTGCCCAAGCTCAGGCAATCCTCTCACCTCCGCCTCCCAAAGTGCTGGGATTATAGGCTTTGCCACCACGCCTGGCCCTAAGTACCATTTCTAAAGCATAGATGAGGTAAATATTTTTAATATTTTACTATGCAGTGTTTTTTTTGTTTTTGTTTTTTTGGTTTTTTTGAGTTAAGAGTCTCACTCAGTCGCCCAGGCTGGAGTGCAGTGGCATGCTCATGGCCACCTCAGCCTCAATCTGCTGGGCTTAGGCAATCCTTCCACCTCAGCTTTCCAAGTAGCTGGAATTACAGACACACACCATCATGCCCAGCTATTTTTTGTGTGTGTGTGTGATTTATTGTAGAGACAAGGTCTCACAAAGTTGCCCAAGCTCAGGCAATCCTCTCACCTCCGCCTCCCAAAGTGCTGGGATTATAGGCTTTGCCACCACGCCTGGCCCTAAGTACCATTTCTAAAGCATAGATGAGGTAAATATTTTTAATATTTTACTATGCAGTGTTTTTTTTGTTTTTGTTTTTTTGGTTTTTTTGAGTTAAGAGTCTCACTCAGTCGCCCAGGCTGGAGTGCAGTGGCATGCTCATGGCCACCTCAGCCTCAATCTGCTGGGCTTAGGCAATCCTTCCACCTCAGCTTTCCAAGTAGCTGGAATTACAGACACACACCATCATGCCCAGCTATTTTTTGTGTGTGTGTGTGATTTATTGTAGAGACAAGGTCTCACAAAGTTGCCCAAGCTCAGGCAATCCTCTCACCTCCGCCTCCCAAAGTGCTGGGATTACAGGCTGAGCCACCGAGCCCGACACTATGCAGTTATTTTAAAGCAGTGTAATATGGTGGTTTAGGGCCAGGATTACCGAAGTTTGGGTTCTGATTTGGCTACTTATCCTGAATGACCTTGGGTTTCCTCTTAAATTCTCTAAGTATCAATTTCCTCATTTGTGAAACGGAGAAAATAACAGTGCCTTCTTCATAGAGTTGCTGGGAATGTGAAGTCAGATATTGGCCATCAAGCACTTAGCACAATAGCAGGTGGCTGTTGTTATTTGTATTACTATCGAGGGCAGGTAAGCATTTAGTGTCTTTCTTTTCTAAGAATGTCTGATACCAATTCAGTATTCATTGAACACGTGTGTAGGGCATCAGGAAAGGAGTGCCCAGAGGGACCTCCTTTTTTGCCACACTCCTGCCCCTATTAAATTTACTCCAAAGCCCTTCTTTAAGTTGTATTCCCTTTAGTCTGTAGTTATTGAAAATAATAAAATTTATAGATACTACATACTAGAATTTTATCTATAAATTCTTTTCTTTTGATCTGCACAAACTTGGGGGGTAGCATGTACTATATTTGCCAGTTGTTAAACCTCTTCTCTGACCAGGGAGTTCTAGATGATAGTGCTGATGATGTACGGGGGAATTAAATTTTTATCTGCAGTGAGAAGTGGGTCTCTGTATTTGCAGTAATAAGCAAACATCTTCAGCTTGAGAGAATACACTTAAGTACAATGTTTATTCTCCAGAGGGATACTGATTAATTTTACAGGACGACTAAAAGCAGTCCTTTCTTTTTTATTGTGGTAAGGATAGTTAATATGAGATCCACCCTCCTAACAGATTTTTAAGTGTACAATACTGTATTTAAGTGTACAGTAAGTATCCCTAGGGCTGATGCTGCACCAAAGATCTCTAGAACCTATTCATCTTGAATAATTGAGACTTTATGCCTGTTAATTAGCAACTCCCCGTTGCCCCCTTCGCCAGGTTCTGGCAGCCACCATCCTATTCTATGCTTCCATGAGTTTGACGATTTTAGATGCCTCCTATAAGTGAAATCATGCAGTATTTGTCTTTGTGCTTGGCTCATTTCACTTGGCATAAAATCCTCCAGGTCTATCCATGTTGTTGCAAATGGCAGGATTTCCTGCTCTTTTGCTTTTAAAAGCAGTCAGAGACAAGTATGAAAAAAAAAAGTGGGCAGCTGGGAACTGGTGCCAGAACAGCCCACAAAAAGGTTCTGAGTAGCACAACCCAGCCTGGTTTTCCACCAGCAATTCCCAAACCTTCCCACCTGATGACAAAGTTAGCGAATGACAGAGTGATGAATGAGGGGTGTGGGGAGCCAGGGGCGAGGACTGGCTGGGCCAACATCCAAGCAATCAGATTCCAGCAGGACATTCCTTTGAAGGATCAGGTAAAATCTTACAAATATCTGCAAACTTTGCATTATACCTATGTTTTAGCTGTAAAATAGTATTTTAAGCTCTGTCCTGAGAAATATAATGGCAAGCATCTGAACGTGTTTTCCACCATTCCCAGTAGAGTACCCCGGGGGTTCCATTTCCTTGGTTTAGATCAGGGGCCCTGGAACAGTGAAGGAGACTGGCTTTTGCTCCCTTCAAATCTCTACCTTGCCGTCTGCCATGATTCCTGTCCTTGGATATCACTCCTGGGTCATGTCCATGGTCCCAGCAGGCTAGCAATGAATCCTTTCTGAGATTTTAACAGGACTCAGCATTTGACGCCCCCAGGGGTTTTAGGTTTAAGTGGAGTCTCCAGAGGACAGAGAAATTTTGAGATCCTAAGCAATTCCAAGACTGAAATCGCACAGGTATCTTTGGAGGCAGGGACTGTGATTTCCCCTATTACTGAGGTGCTCCAGCGGCCAACTGTGTTTCAGGTGTGTGAGAGGAGAGTGACCGCTCACCTCACTGTCAGCTGCTCCTTCTTTCTGAGTTCCTGTTTATGCTGCTGCCAGGCCCTACATGATTGGTTTGCTTAGCAATCCCACACCACAGTGGCTTCCAGGGGCCAGGGATGCGAACAGGGATCTTGCACTGAGGAACCTGTAACTAGGAAGAAACTCTGAGAGCTTGTCAATCCTTGGCCTGCCAACACTGATAAGAACCTGAGTTCCAAATGTCCTAATAGGCAGAGCCACACTGATGAGTAAGGTGGAAATTTATACCACTACTGTACCCAGTCCTGGACCTTAAAGTCCTATGCAGAGGTCTAACCCAAAGGTCTAACCCAATACAAAGTACACACTTGTCACACGTGGCAAAAAAGTTTCACATGGGGTTATTTCTTTTGTACTCTCAGTCAAGCAACGCAAGCTACCACCCAGACCTCTTGGAATCTGTGCCAAATAAATACTCAGACCAGAATTAAGTTGAAGCTATGGCAGAGGCGACCAGTCATTCTGCCATGATTTTGGTAAACCCATCAACTCTAAGCATGGACACAATGCCTTGCATTTGCCAGTCTGTTTTTATAAAATGACTGGAGGGGGTGGGGCATTGGGAAGGAGCTGAACTAGGGGAAGTCTTGTCTTAAACACCTTTTAAAAACAAACACCTTTTAAATAAAACCATATCTAGTTTGCCTCTTCTCTGTAAGGAGCTACACTGGGGGTCACAGAGGTGCCAAGACTAGAACAACCAATTCAGGATGGGCCCGAAAGCCTTCATTTCTGAGAGTACTTATTATGCCCTGTTTACACATGGCTATGCTCTCCCAGGTCAGTGAATGCCTGTCACCAAGGGCCAATAAGTAGAAGTCGAGGTTCAAGACCAGGAGTTAGAGAAGTGTTCACAGAGGCCTTGGTCACACACAGGCAGGAGGTAGGGAGAAGCCGCTGAGGCCTCTGGGCACTGAGTCCTGCGTTCCTAGAGGGCCATGAGATCCTCCCACCTGCAAATGATTGGCTAATCGTTCCTTAGAGTTTGCCACATGCATTTCCCTTCTACCCACTGTGTTCTCTCGAGGGCAAGGGGCCAGGCAGGGGCAGTAGCACTGTGGCCAGTACAAGGTGGGGGACTCTGGCATTAGGCAGGGAGTGCAGGACCCTCCATCTCCTGGCCTGCTTTCTCCTTGAGCTCTGGACACAGCAGGAAGCCCTTATGTTTCCATAAAGTCATCACACAGGCTGGGTTTTGTTTCTTTCCTCCTTTTTTTTTCTCTTTTTTCTTTTAAAAAACAGACACCCTTGAGACACTGGTTGATTTTTTAGAGAAATATACATTTTTTAACTCTAAAGATGGAGCACAAGTTTTCTGAATTTTAAAACAAAGGCCACGATTTAAACAACTAGCGTCCCTGCCAAATACACTGGGCAAACAGAAAGGATGCTTCTCTGATGTCCACAGACTACCATCCTTCTCAAACACCCCAGGCACTTTGCAACAGGAAAAAACAAAGAGCAGCCTTATGTGGCCACCCTGTACCCCCTGCCCAGGTATGCGCTGTCGCGCGCAGGGTGGCGGGGCCAGAGCTTCAGTCACCTGGGCACGGCGGAGGACACGCGTGATGCATGCGGCGACAGGTTCCTGGGACTGCGGGTGCGGTGTCCCCTCGGCGGTCCCTTCCTCCGCGGCCCCCTCCCAAACCCCAGCCCCAGCCGAGCTGGCGGCGGGAGCATGCGCCGTGCGCCGCCGGGCCGGGAGGCGGGCGGGGAGGCAGCGCGCAGCACTCGGGTCCCCTTCCTGCACCCAGCCGCCAGTTGCCGGTTGCTAAGCAGTTATCATTGTTTCTGTGGCGATTGCAGAGGCTGTTGCTAATTGGAGAAGCCCCACTAAGCAGCAGCATCTTTTCTCTTCTGAGCCTCTATCTGCTCTTTGCATTTAAAGAGCAAACTAGGGAGGTCTACCCAATCTCCCTCCCCCACCTCCCCAAAATAGCCTTGTGATTTCGGGAAGTATGGACTAAAATCACACTCCTCCTCACCTTGCCGCTTGGACTCTGGTGGCTCCCAACTCACCGTCAGATCCCACCTGCCCCAGTGGTGGGGAGCGACTGGACGGATCATGACTACAGCCAAGGAGTCAAGCGCTTCAGGGAAATCCGTGCAGCAGCAGGAACAGGTAATGCTGCTTTTGGGGTGGCCCTGTATGAGGTGTGTGTGTGTGTGTGTGTGTGTGAGAGAGAGAGAGAGAGAGAGAGAGAGAGAGAGAGGAGAGAGAGAGAAAGAGGGGAGATATATGTATTTATTGGAGGATTTGGTATTTATGACTGTAGCCCCCTAAGCCACCAGGCTGGGAGGGGAAATAAAGTGCTGAGCACTGCTGGGGTCTGCCTTTCTCCTCTCTCCTCAGCTTCTCTTCTTAAAGGGCACTCTGGCTTGATCCATACTGTAGAGGCACAGGAAGCATCTGACAAGGTAAACTTGATATGAAGCACCTTTGGACAAAGGCCTCTCTCCAGAGCTGCCTGCTTAAATGATTTCATTGTGAATCTTCCCAACTAGTACTTCGTAATTTTGGGAAGGAGGAGTGTAGCTAAAAAAAAAAAATCAGCTTATTTTAGACCTCCAACAGGACTTCGCTTTAGTTCTGAGACAAGTCAATAGATAATGAGCTATATTTAAAGGACTTTTCTTTCTGTGCCTCTTGTCCCTTTTCCTCCTTTTTCCTCAAGTGATTTTTGAAGGTATAAACAGATGGATACTGCTCTTCTTGGCCAGATAGGGAGAGCAAACTCCTTGCTAGAGAGGCTGAAGGATGCATATTCTGGACCAAGTAGTACTCTGGGAAAAGTAGCAGGGTTAAAGGGATGCTGAGGACAGTGAAGGCGGCCTGGGTCCTACAGGGCAGAGGGAGGTGGTCACTCTGCCCCTAAGAGGCCCACTGTCTGCAGAGGCTCCAAGTGTCAGGAGAGGAAAGGTGAATCAGCAAGCCACGCTCCATCGCTCATGTAGATATTGTAGTCCCCTTCTTGGAAGATCTTGAGGGTTCTTGTCTTTTAATCACTGCTCAGTTCACCTAAGGCAGATCATTAAAATAGATCCTGGGAGACACCAATAGATTCGCAAAGCAGTTTGCTCAAGCTTGATAAATCAACAGCATAAGCTGATTTCTCCTATTTATTTTAGGGTTGCTGTTAGATTTCATTTGCTGGGATTGGGGCAAAGAAAGGAGATCTCTCCAAAGTTCAGGAAGGCAAAGAGCTTCTTTGGGGACATTTAATGGCAGAATCTCACCACCAACTCCTCAGAGACATACATGAAGACAACTTTGGATCTATATTTAATGTGGGCTTTATTTTGGGGGTCATTTTTCCAAAACCCATGTTTTTGGAAAAAAAAAAAAAAAGGAGCCATCTTATTAGCATCCTTATTATCACCCAAAGAACTTAATTCAATTTTATTTATTCTGGGAATTAGATTTTGTAAATATGGACATCTAAAAAATTTTATATTCATTGTGACAGCTTGTCTAGGGGTTCATTTTTATTGTAGCTTGACTGGTTCAAAATAAACAAACCAACCCTTCTCCTTTCAAAAAGTCTACAGAATATTTGCTCAATAAATAAATATCTCCACCCTAAGTAAGCATCCTATAACTGGGTTACCTTTTATTACAGTTCTTTTCCCTCACTGGATATGAAATAAATGTAAGCTGGGTGTACAGGCTTGAACTAGAACTCAGGTAGCATTTCTGACCATGAAACAGAAGTGATAACTATGAAAAGAGCACATTGCTATTCACAGGTATAAACTCAAGGATTGAGAGTCAGATTCCCAATCTGTGTGATGACAAAGAAGTTCCTTGGTTCCTGTGCCATTTTGCTGTTATTTTACCTGACACTTCAGCATGCCAGGAGAGTGGAAATGGTTAATTAGGGTGTGGGTTTTGGAGTACCTATGAGCTCTTGGTTTGATTTTATACCTTTTAATCTCCATGCTTGAACCCACCTCCACTGGGGAAGGCTCAAACTAGTATAAAACTAAAGATCAGAGGCAGACATGGCTACAGAGAGCAGGTGGGATGCCCAGAAGCAGCTGGCCTCATCCCATGCCGTTGGAAAGTCCCTCTCCATTCTCAGAGGCATCTTTCTGACATTGAAAAATCCGTAGAACTCATTTTGTGAACGGCAACAAAAAGGGTCAACAGCAGGACTAGGGGAATAGAAGCCAAATGGGATGGAGGATGAAGATGTCATATTTTAAATATGTATATCTCTAGAGGACCTTGGCTGAGATCTTAACAAACTGCTCAGAACATAAATAAAATACTAAAATAAAATTACTAAAGACTATTTCTTATTCCTTTATTATATATCATTTTTTAAAGGCATTAAAATTATTCTGTGTTCTTAGACTGCAGAACTCTTAATGCGCTCTCCATTTTTTTCTTTCATTTTCTTTTTCCTTGTTGCTAATGAAACTTTTAGGATAGCTTTATGCCCAGGATACTAGGAATTTTTAGAGAAACCAAAAAAGAGGAATATATATATATAATATATGTGTGTGTGTGTGTGTGTGTGTGTGTGTGTGTGTGTGTGTGTGTGTTTATTTTTTTTTAAGAGAAAGAGGGAATTACTGGTTTGTGGTTTGGCACTGAAGTACGTATGCATGTGTGGGCAGGGCGGGGAGGGGGCAGTCATTTAACTATATTAGCACTGCCACCAAATCACCAAGCATTTCCTTTGAGAAACTCAGTGGCAGTGGCACCTGATACTCTCATGTGGTGAGGCATTACTCTGAGGATTTGAATTTAATGCAGCCTGATACTCTTGCTAATACTTTAGAAATTATTTGGTACTGCATTAGACTACCCCTTACTTCATAACAAGCTAAAGAAATGTTCATTTATTTACCAGCCTTAGTAGTTGGGACCCAGACAAATGGGTAGTGTATACAAATAACTTGTGTATGCTGAGGATGACCACAGATTGATTTTTAAAATTAGGAAAGTATGTAAAATTGAATAATTGTATCTAGTAATTAGCGATGAGATTTCTGAGTTTTCCTCCCCAATTTGTTTGCTAAAAGTATACCAAAAACAGATGAATATTGCAGGTGTGGTGACCAAGTGGTAAGATGTTGGTCTCATAAACTGAAAAATAGAAGAATATGCACATAGTTGTTTTTTTTTTTAAATGGATGCTGTATAAACACATCAAAATAAAAAGGAGAATTGACTTCTAGAAGGCCGTTTCTCTTTCTCTTTGGAGATACCAAAGTTTATTTTTAAATGAAGTATCATCAGCCCAGAGGTGTTTGGAAACAATATATCTTTCCATCTAAATGAATTGAATTCATCCTTTGACTTTGAAGCCAATCAGATGACACTGAGACTTCTCCAAGAAAATGGGATCAGTCCTGGCTAGTCCCTGTGTCCCCTTGTGCACAAGAGTTAAACCAAGTAAAGCAACAGGAAAAAGCTGAGGCTATTTTGTTTTAAATTTAGCGTATTCCCACAAGCAAACTGAACCATCCCTTATAAAACCAAGTTAAGGGATTTTTTTTTTCCTTTAAAATGTATAAAAGTACAGATTTATTTTGATGCATACTATCCCCATTTCAAATGACTTAAAACTGAAAAGCTGTGATCAGTGATGCTATTAAGAGAAACAGAAAGATCAATTCCCCATGCTCATGTTTTTGCTCAAACATTGAGCAGAGATAGGTTTTTAGTGGCATATTCTGTATATGTGTATGTAGGGATATGGATGTGTATGCACACACACCAGCACACATATGCGTATGAACACATGCTCACATGCACATGTCATATGTCATGAAATCATAGAGTTGGACGAGACCCCATAAACACCCCAGTGTCCTAGTCCACTCTTTGCTCAGGAATCTCACAATATGTGAGATTAGGCCTTTCCTTAAAGGATCTCTATAAAAACCTCTTCTCATATGGAAATACCCTATATTCTATTGCCTTATTTGAATTTTTTGCTGTATGTTGACTTCAGTCACAACTTTAACTTCCTTAGACCTGAAAATCAGAAATCAGCTGTTCTAAATGTATCCCTCCGTGTGTGTGTGTGAGTGTGTGTGTGTGAGTGTGTGTGTGTGTGTAGTAGACATCGTTCTACATTGTAGTAGACATCGTTCACACTCTCGTTGAGAAACAGACAGCAGAGTGAATCTGTTGATCTAGAATTCCAAAAATTGAGGAAGAGATCAGTGGTTGTTTGATCATCTTGCTTATAAAAGATCGGACAGGTGGAGGTTGTATATTTTTGTTTCAGACATTATTTGGAAAAACACAATAAATGAAAATGGTTTTATTTCAAGTTTTAGGTTTGGTTATCTTGTAGGCTTAACTGTATATATATATATGTATGTATATGGTACAAAAGTTTTGTTTGGTACAAAAGTCCTAATAGCTCCTTAAATGTCTATTCTGCTATTAAATTGTCTCCAGAACCTAGTGTTGATTAATAGGTTAAATTATTTGCTTGACCATCTGTAATAATGCCATTGCAGAATAATTTTTTGAAATGAATAATAGAATTTTATAAACAACACACTCAATAGTGTGGACATTAAAACACATGTATCTTAGAATTTTGAAAGAGGTCTTGTGACCACCTGGAAAGGCACATAGATAATGACCCTGGAACAGGACTTCTGACATTTCTTTTTTTTTTTTTGAGTTGGAGTCTCTGTCGCCCAGACTGGAGTGCAGTGGTCGCTCCCAGCCACCGCAGCCTTGGCCTGCTGGGCTCCGGTTGCTGGGCTCCGGCGATCCTTCCAAGTAACTGGAACTACAGGTGCATGCTACCACACCCGGCTAATTTTTTGATTTATTGTAGAGATGAGGTCTTGCCAAGTTGCCCAGGTGGGTCTCGAACCCGCGGGCTCAGGCAATCCACTCACCTCAGCCTCCCAAAGTGCTGGGATTACAGGCTGACCACCGAGCCCGGCTGACTTCTGACATTTCTATCCAGGGCTCTTGCATTTGATCTTGCTGCTTCTTGCAATATAAAATTAGATACTGAAGAAAAGGGACCATCATGAAAGTTAATTTTTTATGTAACCCTATTAAGACAAAAGGGCAATGTGAGGTATCTGCATTTGAGGTAGATGTGGTATTGGGAGGGGGAGGAAGAAGTGGAAGAGAAC